TGGTTTTGACTCCATCTCCTATATTTCCACTTCTCTGTTACTGTACCATTGTTCTAGCTGTTTCTCTGTGGCGGTAGGAGCCTCTTGCGTTTGATCCCCCAGTTCTTGTGACTTGGCCTTGGTGGTCTTTGAGAACTTCCTTGGCTTTCGGTATTTCAAAACAACCCCACCGCTCACCTGTGTGTCTAAGCTAGGTGCAGCCATGTGTCCTGGAACCCTGCTCTCTTTTACTGGAAAAATAGCTTTCCAGAATTGGGCACGAGGATGCTGGGGGCCATTGCTACTGGTTGGTTATTAATTCTGAGCCTTTCCAATGGAGAGCGTTAGCGCTCACAAATGGTTTGTTGTTTCTGTTGGTTGGGTTTTTATTTTAGTTTTTTGTTGTTGTTGTTAAAGAAACATTTAGGATTATAGGGGTTTTACATAATTGCTTTATGTTTTTGTATCTTTTATACTGAAAATTTTGGTTCCTGGTAACATCCCAACTATAACAAATGTGACACTTTCAGAGAATAAGCCTATATATAATTACTAACAATATAAAGATAAAACAGTTTCAGTGGTTTGCTTTTTTTTTTTTTTTAATCTTCTGGTAGTTCTTCTGTCTTTATCACATTTACTGTTTACTGTTGGGGCTTTCCACCCCTCATCAAGCATAGCCACTGGGGTCTGAATGTTCATGTGCACAGCCCCAGGGTGATGATGTCAGGAGGTCGGACCTCCTGAAGGTTGTTAGGTTGCCTAAATGGACTAATGAGCAGGATTAGTATTAACTACCGTCATATAAAAGAGGTGTCTTCTGAAGGGGACATGTGAAGACACGACATGTGAAAACACGGCAATAGTCGTCTATGAAACCAGGCTCCCCTCACTAGACTATGCCTTTGCAGGTGCCTCAACTTAGGACTTCCCAGCGTGGGACCTTTGAGAAATACCGGCTCCTCACAGTTTGTGGTATTTTGATATGACAATAAGCAGACCGAGACAGTAGCCATTTTACCTTGATTTATATTATTTCTAATTTTTGATATAAGCTTATGTCGTATCACTTTTTTTTTTTGAATAAAATCGTGTGTGTACATGCACACATGTGTAAGCCACCGTGTATGTATGGAGATCAGAGGACAGCTTTCAGGAGTCAGTTCTCTTCTTCAAGCTTGTAGGTCCTAGGTAGCAAACTCAGGATGCCATGCATTTTGAGGGCTTTTAACCTCTGAGGCACCTTCCAGCTTCACCTTTTGTTTTGGTACGGTGTTTTAACAGGGTATCCTTATGTAGTCAAGCCTGACCTTAAACTCTTGATCTTCTTGCCTCTGGCTCTGCGGGACTGAGAACACAGGCATGTCCCACCCAGCTCAGTCCCTTACTATATCTGGATGGTCTTCTCTGATAAAGGGTAGCATAGCTGTGTGTATCCATCTCCTTTCTTGTTTCACTTAATGTGATATCCTGGAGATAACTCCCAGCTTCGGGCTCCTGCATAGAACCTGGTGATGTAATTACAGGAACCAGGGATGATTTCATCAATCCCCCAGACACTGAAGTTTTACATCCTCAGAGCCAGAGTGAAGAGCAGTGTGTAACATCTCATGCTGTTTAGGGCAGTGTGTTTGAGGAACAGGTTTCTAGAAGGAAGACTGTGGGACTGGAGTCAATGCAGATATTAATTAGTGATGAATTTTCCTTCAGGGGTGAGGATGGAAGATGGGGAGATAAATTAGAAGTATTTCTCACAGGTATACATTTTGAGCTGGCTTTTCTACTTTTAATAATTCAGATCCTAGTATATTTTGGTAACACATACTGTCAATCAAAAATGATTTTCCAATATACATATATATCTAAAACAAATGTGTGTATATGTATATATTTGCTAAAATATATATGTATATATGTTGGAATATATATGTATATATATTTGTTAGAATATATGTATATATTTTATTAGTCTCTGTGTGTGTGTGTGTGTGTGTGTGTGTGTGTGTGTGTGTGTGTATGTGTGTGTGTGTGTTAGAAAAAATTTACATGTGGTTTTTTGAAATGGTGCCACTCTGTAGCTCTGGCTGTCCTGGAACTCACTATGTAGACCAGGCTGGCCTCAAATTAACTCTGCCTGCTTCTGCCTCCCGATTGCTGGGATTAAAGACGTGCACCACCATGTCTGGCTTTCTACCTAAAATATTGGCAGAAATCAATGAACTTCCAAGCCTCAATTGTTTTTTTTCCATTTTGGACCCATAAACCTCTGTACTCACCCTGTTTGGTACAGAGGCTTTGTGAATGACTTCCAAAAAAAGGTTACCATGAAGAATGGATTGTGCAAATGAGCATGGCTGGGCTCAATGGTTTGCCGTAAGAAAAATGTGAGGCGCCCTTATCTAGGCTTTCTCCAGAAGCTTGTACCACAGTGGAGGTGGGTAAGACTAAAAAGTAACTGTGACCTAAGATAGTGTGTGACACAGGAGGACAGTGCTGCAGGGAAGGATTGTCCAGCTAGACTGATCGGGGAGGTTTCTGGGAGTCAGTTGAGATATGCTAGGTCTCAGGGTTAGGGAAACAGTTTCCTAGGTACTGGAAAAGTCAAGTGGATGTGATGAGGTCTGGGAGCTCAGGCAGGCTTTGAGCACCCATGCTGATTGAAAGGCTTCCCAGGGCAGAACAAGCCTGAGAATAACGAGTTCCAGTTGGAAGGACCGTGGGCTAGGTAGAAGAGAATGGGTCTGTGCAATAGCCATTAAAAAGCCCTGGGGGACTGAGAAGGGGACTTGCGTGATTCAAATGGTGTGGTGCTGAGGTCAGTGGGTCCTGGGAGTTGAGAGCAATGTGGGAAGAACCTGGCCAGGCTTGCTCAGATAGAGTGTCATACAGGTGTAGAGAGATAAACACAAGGAAAGGCTATTCTGAAAGACAGGCATGTTGAAAGCTTGCATGTCTAGGCTCGAGCGGAAGGAATGAGCAATTCTATAAGATTCTGAGTCTGCACACCAGGCAACAGCGAGGGTCACTGACACTGCAGTATTTCTTTTTCTTTTTTGGGGGGTGGGGGTGGGGGTGTTGAGACAGGGTTTCTCTGTGTAGTTTTGGTGCCTGTCCTGGATCTCACTCTGTAGACCAGGCTGACCTCAAACTCACAGAGATCCACATGGCTCTGCCTCCCGAGTGCTAGGATTAAAGGCGTACGCCACTCCGGCCCTGCAACGCTGCAGTATTTCCATCTCAGCAAACTTACCACTGCAGGAAGGAAACTGCTCAGTGCTGTGATGCTTGAATCTGGGTGGTCTTCAGGGAGGCAATCGGTGAGCTATGCAGGTGGACTCATTTAATTCCTTCTCTGTGCATGTGAGTGTGTGTGCATGCGCATACAAGTTCATGTGTGGAAGGCAAAAGAGAAACGTGTAGCTCCTCAGGGGCTGTTTCCCTTTCTTGAGATGGCTCGGGTCTCTCATTGGCTAAGAGCTCATTCAGTAGGTTAGGGCTGTCTGGCTAGCAAACCACAGGGAACCTAGTCTTGGCTTCCCCAGCACTGGGATTACAAGTGGGTGTCCCATATTGGTTTTTTTGTTTGTTTGTTTGTTTTTTTAATGTGGGTTCTGGGGATTGAACTCAGGTACTTGTGCTTGCCAATCAAGCACTTCACTGCCTGAGCCATCTTCTCTCTCCCCAGACCTCCTCCCCCACTGATATCCCTTTTTGAGATAGGGCCCTGCTATGTAACCCAAGCTGACTCATTATGTAGCTCAGACTAGTCTTAACCTTGTGATCCTCCTGCCTCTGTCTCCCAAGTGCTGGGATTACAAGCATGAGCCTCCATGCTCAACCCAGGCTGACGAATTATTGATGAGACTCTCCACATACAGCTCTAGGGAGTCTTTGACTTCCCACATATATAGCCACTGTTGATACAAAATGCTGTCAGCCTTCTCAATGACTCTCGCTATGGGGGGCCTGAGAGTACTGCACGCCCACCTACTCTGGCGGATTTGAGTGTCATAGGTGGACATTTGTGGTCGGTCAGTTTGCCACCCATCACAAATGTGCTATTCTCAATAAAATTCTCTTTGGTTTTCCTAAAATGCATCTCCCGCCAGCCCCCAGTACTTGTAATCCAGGAGAATGTGTCCTCTCCCCAGATTCAGAGGATGTCTAGTAACTCGGGGACGTGACCCACACGGTGATGGATCCAGGAATGAGTCCCGGATTTAGAGTTATGTGGCCCACGAGAAGACAACCTCTCTTGTTCTTTCTTACTAGACTTAAGCCCAGAGGATGCATGTATCATGTTGCCATGGGGATCCTGTGTGAGGTCCACCAGGCGGGAGAATACAAATGGTCTCTTTAGTAACTCTGTATTTAGAACGCACTACAGAGGCCGTTTCTGTGTCCACAGTTGGCATCTGAGGTCCCCACATCAGAAATCCATTTTCAGTAAAATGGGCGAATTGAGTGTGAGTGGGGCCTTAGTCCATGTTCTTCTCAAGTCCCACTCCTTGGGACCAGCGCTCTTAGGGCCAGGTTGACACTCTTTTGGCCCATGTGCCTTTTTCCCCAGGGAACATCATGGCTGGCACACAAAGCGCTCCTTGGAGGGCCAAAGACGGTTTCCCTGGTGCTGTGTGCTCTTAGCTAAGGATGTTCTTTGTGCACCTGTCACACTGGGGTCTGAGACTGGCGTTCGGAGTTCTCCTCCCAGGCAGAGGCGAGGGAGGGACAGAGTCCTCGTGCCCTTTTCCTTGAAGAACCTGTGTCCCACACTTGTGTAACCGATAACTGTCCTGAGGAAAACAGGTCATCTTGACACTGGGGCAGGAGTTCAAGTGTCTCTCACCCCCAGCTCTCTAAATCAGGGAATAATGCATTCTGTATTAGACCACTCTTTAACACCCGTGGGAGTCCTAATCCTCAGTTCCTCCTTAAGCCCAGGACAATCTGGGAAACAACAGCACTAGGACCTTTCATGTCCGTCATTCCTGTCAAAATAGAATCACAACAGCTCTGAACAGTGTCGTTCACCCCACTTTATTCTGGATGCATTTTACAGACAACACCTCACAAGCATTCCAGTGGACACTGAACGCTAAGGCCATTCTGTGAGTTGTTTTTCAAACCTGGTGTTCTCCAGATAATCATCTTTTTAGAAAACGAGGTACCAAAACCAAGTCTCTGAAACAAAAATTTAAGGTAGGTTACAAGACACCTTCAGAGCCTTATCTAGTCTGAAGTCCATCGCTCGGCCAAGCCATGTTCATCTTAGAGTGAAGAACTCCAAGGCAGCCGCCAGCTCAGCACCCAGCGCTCTTCTCCAAGTTACAATATAGTGTTTTGTTTCTGGCAACCAGGGGCCAGGATGGAGATACCATTTTTCCTCCTAGTGAGTAACAAGGAGAGACTTTATCTGAGAACACATTATAGAATTCTTGGAACAGGAAAAGAAAGGGACCTGTAACTAAGGCACCGAAAGCACATTATTTTATAAAGAAATGTAAACAATTTAATGCCAACAGGCTCCCCCGCCACTAGTCCTTATTGTGACTGTACTGGAGCATCTCTGTTGGGCCAGAGCTTGAGAGCCGGTGAAATGGGAATCTGTCTGTCTGCAGAACTCAGGCTTGGCTACCAATATCTGATCTTCATGTGGAGTGACCACCATTAGAGCACATGAGTGGGAGATGCTAATTCTTCCTCGTGTATGTTCTGAGAGCACACAGAGGCAGGATGTTAGTGAGTCTTAAGTGATGAGTTCTTTCGGGTGTTTACTCATTTTGTTTTCAGCCTTCCCTATTGTTGCCTGATTAAGGGTCAGGATTCCTTGGGCTTATTTCAAAGATACCTAGTGTGGGAACTCAGCACTTAGCCAGCTCCCCTTTTTATTGGTTCATATTTTAAAGTGAAATGGTTAACATTGTAAATAACCCACAACTACTGTACTTAAAATCTCTCAGAATGGGGTCAACTAGCCAACTAGTGAGGTGAGCATTTCGGTCCCTTAGGCTCACTATCACAGGGAGCAGGGCTGCCAGCTGCTAGAAGCTCTGGCTGACAACCATCAAGGATTGATTTAAAGCAGTTGTAAGCTCAAAATCATTATATATGTATATATACACACATATATGTATATATGTGTGTATATATTTTAAGTTAAATAAAAGGTTTTAACATACTAAATAGGTAAGAACAAATAATTATAATTTAAAAACTTTTATTTAAAAGGGGATTTCTTGTTGGAGAAAAATCTCTTAAAGCAATCTCTCTAGTTTTAATGTCATACTCGGAATTATGAATTTGGGGTAGATGATAAAGTTAAGGTATTTTCTACCTTAAGCATGTTTTCTATGATCAAACGAGGAGGAAGATCTTCCTGTTTAAGGGAGAACAAGAGGTAAAGAGTTTGAGGGCACACAATGAGATGGACATCACTGCTGCCTGATCCCAGGTGCTGTGGGCAGAGAGAGCAGCTTTGCTCTTTTACCTGGGGAACAAAAGTAATTTTAATTGTTAGCTATTTCCATGTTCAAATTTGATCCATGGAAGTCACAGAAAAACTTAAAATTAGAAGTCTTTCTCATTAAGAGAAAGAAAAAAAAAAGTTCTTTTTTGTGTGTTTTTACCCTTAGAAACTATAAAGTCACACAGCTGTGCTGAGAGCAGATGTGTACAGGAACTAATTAGTGAGCTCCGGGCAGGATTCAAATGAGCTCTGGTGGAGCGGTTAACTACAGGCTGGTGTGTTTCACTAGAGGCACCACTTAACACTCCCACTGAAACATACACACAAACTCCAAAAGAACCAAACAAACATGATACGCTGACGGTGTTCTGTCCCCACCAGGGCTTCCTCAAGAATGTGCTTGGTGAGCTGAGCAGGAAGGTGAATTCCTGTCTGAGGACACAGGGCAGTGACAGCTGTTCAGACTGCCCGGGGTGGGGTGACAGGTTTGCTAACAGCTGAACTATTTTATGTGCCTCTGTGTCCCCCGTCACAAAAGCCAGGACCATGCAGCTCAGTGGAAACAATGGCCACATGCTTCTCTCACCCAGGGCACTGGTGCTATGGGTCTGCTGGGTCTTCTCTGCTTCCAGATGACAGGATGATGTGATAAACAGTTGGTCAGTGTGGCTTTAAATGTTACTGTTGAGAATTAGAGAGGAAGTCCTTGCTATCATTGAAAGGGCTCTTTCTGGGTTAGCATTTTTGGTTTTAAGAGTAAAGTTGATCAAGGCTTGGGGGCTTTGGCTATGCCTTCCTGTCTGCGGGCATTTTTGTTGTAGCTCTAATGGCGAAAGGTGGACACCCTACATGCACAGGACATACCTGCCTTCCATTGTGTGTAGGTTCTAAAAAAGTATTTCATAAGACAGTTTGTGTCTGAAATACCAGAATGTTCTTCTAGCACATCTTTACATGTGTCGTTCACACTGAAGATGAAGTTACACCTGCTAAGCGCAAGCTGAACCAGTTTCTGACCTTGAAAACCCACATGGAGAGCCTGAAGGTGCTCCTAACCAGAGTGCAGGTGTGACTTCCCAGGGAGGAAGAGGGGTCTCCTGCTGTCTCATTCAGCACAGGAGACCATGAGCCATGGAGGGCTCCCTATGAAATGGTGATCAGTTTAGGACACGACAATTTCAGTTTGACTGCTGGAAAAGGATAAAGACCGTGCCCATGGGGAAGCCAGGCTACCACCTGCCTCCGCATGCTGGAGCCCATGTTCATGGTGCCAGGCCTGTCCCTGGGCTGGCAGCCTGTCAGAAGCGGGTTGACCCTTTCAGAAAAGCTTGCCATCTTGTCTCAACAGCTTGCTGATTGTTGCTAATATTGTGGCCCGAGTTATTCACAGCGATTGACCCTGCTACATATGCAGCATTGGAATTACATTCAGAGGTTTTAAAGAAACTGTAGCAATATTTCCCCCACAAAATTAAGTGCAAAATATCTTTAACAAAGGATGATGATAGTAAGAAACATTTGACATAGTCATGCAGAACTCATCTTGGTTTACAAAGGCTGTGCATTTCCATAACGCCCCTAGGGTTTCACATGTAAATGTGACCGGCAGGCTTACTTGTTTCTCTTTGAATTTAAATGTGTGTGCTTGTGGAAAAAGCGGTAACATGCAAGTTCAATGATTTCCAGTCCACCAAATATTCTCTCCTGCAGCACGAAAAACACGATGCTGGTTATGAAATACCACCAAACAAGACTGTACAAATATACGAGCAGGCACATTGCAGAGCAGAACACGGTCCAGTACAGTATGGAGAGCAGCTTGACCACAAGGACTCTGAGCTCAGACTTGCAAGGTGGAACTGTGCTCTGCCCAGTAAAGTGAAAGTTTTTTTCTCCTTGGTAGAAGGACCGCAGTCTCTCTTCCTTCTCTTCCCACCTCTTGTGGCACCAGAGCTGAAGGTCCTCCTTGGATGTGGGAAGGGTGTCGATTGGATACCTCTGGACATGGAAGTGGATCTCCTTGGGAAAGTCTCCAAGCAGGAGGTGTTTCTCAGTCTGAGGAATGTTGTAAGGATATGCCACAGTGATGTCATGGACAGCATCGAGGTTCTTACCTAGGATTTGGAAAGATGAAAACATCTTTGCTTTAGCAACAGTCAGTGCGGTGGTAATGCTGATTCCCTCTGCCAGGCAGAAGCCTGAGCACGAAGAATCAGGACAGAGTGAACAAACACGAGCTAAAAATACCAGGGTTTCTGGGTACTTAGGTCAATATTTACCAGCCATTTTTAGCCTTTTTTCCTGTCTGCTAATTACCACAAAGACCTTTAGAAAGAAATTATGTTCATTCCCAGAAATGGTAATCTGCATTCTAGAACTACAGGGATACACACAGTGAGCTGGAGCTGAGATAGGATTAAAGGGTATAGGCTAGCCTTTCAGCCACAAGATTTGTTACACTGACACTGTTAACACACTCATCTCATTAAAGACAATAGAAATGTGTTCGTCTTTACCTTAAAATGACAATGATAATTACTGCAAAGGAACCTCAGAGACAAACTTGAAGAAATTGTCAGTCACATGAACATTTCTAAACAACAAGCAAAACAACTTTGATCCTGACCTGAAACACCAATGTGCGTAGGTATTTAATAGGGTTGTTTTTGAAGCCACACACCAGATGTTGGCAACGAAGACACGGTAAACATGGTCCCTGGTGTCCTTCAAAATGTTCCCAACAGCATCAGGGGAACAAGTATGCACAAGATCCCAAACAGGCCCATGGGGCCATGGCAGATGCGGTGGGGAGGAGCAGGTTCTGCAGAGGGAGTGGACTGGACACCATGGGAATGGTGTAGGCCCCCCTGTACACTGTATGGGCAGAGGAGCATCTTGGGGGCAGTGGAGCACCAGCAGTGTGGAGACCAAGGGCAAAACAATGTGGCTGTTACACAGGCCAGAGGAGAGGCGGGGCCAAAGGAGGGGGAGGCGGGGCCAAAAGAAGGGACTCCTCTACAACGGTAAGAACTGATGTGATATGTGCTCCACTGGAGGAGGGGGACTACACAGGAGGGAGTCGGGCTTATGTTTTTGTCTCAGCACTGAACTAATGGTGGGGCCTTTGAAGTCAGAGAGCTGGTGCATTATATGATCTGCAGAAGACAACAGATACCGCTCAACTGAACCCAGTACACACAGACCCAGGGAAGCTTAGTGTTTTGCCCAAGGGCACAGCACTGTTGGTGCTATCTCTGGATGTTGTCATTATTTTCAGTGAACAAACTTAAGTGTTTTTACTAGTTGTATAAAATAATGGGCTTTGTTAAACAGTTTCACACAGGTACATAATGTACTGTGACAGTACCCATCCCCTAGTCTTCTCTCCCCTTCAGTGAACAGACTGGATGAGGACATGAGTTTCTTATAGAAACAGATGACGCGGGCAGGACTCATGTGTGGCGACAGCAGTCAGAATAGTGGTTCTTACATGGGGAGGAAGTACCGAGAAGGCACCTGAGGAAATCTGGGGAGCACCAAGAATATTCTAGACTGAGGTGTGACAGCACAGCGTTTGCCTCTATCAGAATCAAACGGCATCTAACTGAGAATATTTTACTCTGTTGAAGTTTTACCTCGATAGCAGCAATGGCAAAGAAGTAAAGCCATTTGCCCCACACTCCTTCAACTGCACCCGTCACTCTTAAAAATGGTTCAAGTCTTCTGTACCTGTCAGTCTTGGCTACACTCCGGTTTGCTTTAGGGTGACAACCAGGTTTCGACTTGGTTTCTTTGCTGTCTTTACAGGACCTTCTCCCTGACTAGAAAGTCAACGTACTAGCGCGCTCTCCACACAGACCGGGCTCTGTTCGCTTCTGCCACTCGCCACAGCCAGTGTGCTTGCTGGCTGCTGGACCGAAACTCTGCCCTCAACTCCCCACTTTCTCTCACAGCGAGGAAAAGATGGTCACCATGTCAGTTAGCCCGAGTCAAAGTTATGTTGACATTTCATTTCTCTTTAAAACTCCTGGGGCTCCCTCCTTCCAGCCAAGCCTTCTCGGAGCTACTGGCATCTCCACAGTAGTGTTCTGATCCTGACCAGACTGCAGCTCTCTGTAGCTCTCTGGCTTCTACTCATTCTGCACTGGTTTCACATTTAACCTTTGGATCTACCTATTCTTTTTTTTTTTTTTTTTTTTTTTGGTTTTTCGAGACAGGGTTTCTCTGTGTAGCTTTGCGCCTTTCCTGGAACTCACTTGGTAGTCCAGGCTGGCCTCGAACTCACAGAGATCCGCCTGGCTCTGCCTCCCGAGTGCTGGGATTAAAGGCGTGCGCCACCACCGCCCGGCAGGATCTACCTATTCTTAATGTCCTAGTCTTTCTCTCGTAAGTGTTCATCTATGTGTCTGATGTATACAAGTAAGGATGCGGATGCACATGGAGGCCAGAGTCGGATGCTGGGTATCTCCCTATCTCTCTGCTTATCTCTTGACATAGACACTTAATGAACCTGAAGCTTGCCATACTGGCTAGACTGGCCGGCCACTGACTTCCCAGGATCAGTATGTCCCTGCTTCCCAGCTGTGGGTTACAGGCACCCAGGAGCATGCCCAGCCTTTAGCAGGTGCTAGGGATCTGAACTTAGGCTCTCATACTTACATAGTAAGGGCTCTTTACTCATCAAGCTAGCTCCTCAGCTCTTATAAATGGTTCTTAATATTAATAAGAAATAGTCACAGATTGTCAGAAATGATCAGAACTGTAAGAAAAGTAGCTTCCTTGCTCCAGTGAGAAACTGAAGTACTTTCCCACACAATGTGTGCGGTGTCCCTTTATGTTTATGAGGTGCTGATGCTTGGTAAATAAGTTGTACGTTTTGACACAGTGACAGTACCTCAGACAGAGACCTCCTAGCCTCAATGCCACGCAGAGCATGGGGTGAGGGTGCGGCGCTGTAGAAGTGACAGCTTGGGTCAAAATTCTGGCTAAGCCTCCTGAGCAAGTTACAAAGTCTCTCTGAGGCTTATTTGGTCTTGTGTCTACAAAGTACATCACTGAACGGTTCTGAGAGTTACATAAGACATCCAGGAAATCACTCACGATCATGGCTCAGTAAGTGTTAGTGAATGCCAATATCACTATGACAGGCCACCAGGTAAAGCCATAGCCTCTCTCTCTCTCAGAACAGTTCCCACCATCATGGTGTTTGTCGGAGAACTGCATTCACATCCCTCTCTGCCACTACTCTGTTTGTCTAGACCCTGAGGGTGCCAATCAGGACCTTCCATACTCAAGACTAATGTTCCAAGTGCTGTTTTACAAGGCGTTCTCCTGAATTCCTTCTGTTTCAAATATGTAATTTCTCTTGATGAAATACCTGATTTCAATGTGTCCAGCTCTAATGAAGAGCCTTTACTAAAGGCCAAGGCCCAGGTAGCCCTGCCTGCTGTGAGACCCGGCTGCCACTGTATGCTCAAACAAGAGCCACGTGTTTGCCTCTTTAGTACCTAGTTTTCAAGAGGGTCTAGAAATTTGCATGTGATCACTATTTGTGTGATTTATCTTCTCATCTGAAAGTATGGGAGCTAATTATGCCTTCTTTGTTGGAAAGTTATAATAATTCAATGGGTGACTGCAGAGTGAGTTCTTGGACCCAGGAAGTTCATAAATGTTAGGATCTACTACAACACTTCTATTTCCTTTACTAAGACTGAGTTGACCTCTCGATATTTTGTTATTTCTAACTTGAATTCCACAAATTGTTGGTCCTGAAAGGGCAATAGTCTAAAAGTCTCTTAGAAATTGTGTGAGATTTAGCACTTTGGAAGGCTATTATTATAATTCAGTATCATTAAAGTATTACCCTTTTACATGGCAAGCAAGTGCAGAACAGCATTATAGTGTTTAGAATAAAAAGATAAATTAAAGGGAAGGGGAGCTGGCAAGAAGACACTTCTTGACATTCACATCCCGAGCTTCACAGGTAGCTTAAGGGCTTCCTTAAGCCCAGACTCGGACATGGGTAAACACATTGGCAAGAGAAAGGCCTTTGGAAGGAGAGTCAACAGTCCTGATGCGTTTTAACCTTTACATTAAGTAAAGGTCTCTAGACAACACAAAAGCTACAAGTTACTGTTTTGCAGAGTGGGAGAGCCCAGTTCCCTGCAGGCAGAAGAGCACTTACTTTTGTATCACGTTTCATTTAGACCCCTTGGTCTGTGCCCTTGAGCCCAAGGGAGCCAGTGCCACCAAGGGAGCCAGGACCACGAGATAAGGAACAGGGAAAGGGACAGCATGGCTGCAGGGGCTGGGCTCACATACAGGACAAGAAAGAAAGGGAGAGTCCAAAGCTGAGATGAGCTTCCACTCACCAATGAAGAGATCGGGAAAAATATTTCTGCTATCAGCAAGGTTTTAGATCATCCTCACGCCCAGCTGCCATCAATAGAAAGCATTTTTAAAAGATCTCACTGCTTTTCCAATGAGTTAAATTACAGACATGGATGCCGTCTACTTATCTTCATCCTGCACTGGGCTCAGAATGGAGATCTGTTCTGTTTTGGATACTGTACCTGATGGAATTATTGTATAAAGCTAGCACTCCGTTAGAACAGTCATGCTCACTGGGACCTCAACTGTTTCTTTTAGTGGGAGGAACAAAGCAGTCGCTTACTCTTCCAAATCTTCCTTCCAAAACTCTGGCAGACACTAGGGGATTCTGAATACTCTAGTCATGTTTAAATAACCAACAGAAGTTGAAAACTAGGATTGATTTTTTCAAATGTAATATCCATAAGGGGATGTCTCTAATCATCTCAAGTTGAAGTCATGGTCTTTAAAAGAGTTCTATCTAATGTCAGATGCTCACCAGGAATAGGAGATTGGCAAATCTTTACACATTTGTATGCTTAAAAGAAAGACCTGCAAGAAGCTTTCATGAACTCTAAAGTCGTATCAAAGGGAAGGGATGCTATTGTGCTCATGCCTACTAAAGCACATAATCCAATTGTACAGCTTGATGACAGAATAATACACATTCCCAACAGGGATCTTAAAGAGAACTAGCAAAGACTGCAAATTTCCCTTTCTTTCCCCATTTCATAACCAAGTATGT